TTTTTTTTTTTTTTTTTTTTTTAAAAGAGATTCTGGGTTGCCTGATTAATGCCAGCTGATATATAAATACTTAGGCCTATGTGCTGCATTTGTCCTGGGAGTGTTCACTATTTTGATTAAAAAATCAAATAGTAAACTGCATGAGATGCATAGAAAGCATATTCCAAAAAGGGCTCTCTTGCCAGTTTGAGAATGTAAGAACATGAAAATGAGCTCATTACTTCTGAGGGCATGCAGATGTCATATAAATTTATACTGCAAACCATCACCATTTAAGCTAGATAGCTAAACATACATTCCTACCTGCTAGAATTTGTAAGGGTACCAAGACCATGGGAAGAGCCTGAGGATGAAGACAGTGGCCTTGATAGGCTGAGAGAAATCCCACCTTTTCAGTACTGTGAGAACCAGAAGCAGTAGGGCCAGGTAATGGGAGATATTTGGGGGTCAGGCATATTTTGATGTATATTCATGATCTTTTAATTGCTGGAGCCATCGATAAAAGTCTGAAAACACTGGAGCTTTCTTTGCTGTACTGGGTAACTCCAAATGCTGACGGTAGGAACAGGGATTTCATGTAGAAGCGATATTACAGGATACCATTTGATGTTCGAGGTTCAAAATGAATGGGGCAAATTGTTAGAAGATTTTCAGAGGTATTGCCATGGGGTGACAAATTATCCTACAGTTAAATCTCCATCATTTCAGTCTGTAAGAGAGTTAAGAAATGAAGCTGATCCCTGTCTAGTATCTTACGTGGGGAATACACCTCAGAGAACAGGGATCACACTAAAACAAGCAAAGAAATAAAAAAAAGGTGACCCTACTCATCATCCAAGAAAATTCCCTGTGGAAAAAAAAAAGAAGATATAAAACCTTTTTCTCAGTAGTGAGTTCTCCTCTTACAGGGGTGGGGGATGGATTTTTTTTCCCCTTCGGTTTGAGGGTTAACCAAAGGAAATGGCTTGTGCGTCATTATTTAACAAACTTGCAGCTGGCACAGCCTCATTGGATGGTTTTCTGCCACTCAGACCTGCTTCACCTGCTCCTGAGGCTGGCCCTGACCCTATCCCTGTAAGGAAGCCTTAAGGAGAGCGGTGACAATGTGGCTGCTGAGCACTTTCTTCCTGGCAGCTGTTTTTTCTTGTATGTGCCCTGCTCCTCCTGCTGCCTGCACATTCACCGGTGGCAAAGGGTATGCTCTCTTATCTCAGCTTTATGCCTCTAATTTTTCTCTTTTTTTGCCACAGGTGGCTCTGCACAAGACTTGCAGCAAACCCCCATATCCATCACAAAGCCAGAAAGCAAAACAGTGCTAATCAACTGCCATGTCTCCAGCCCTGATCTTAGCATGATTTTCATTCACTGGTACCAGAAGAAGGCCAGTGAGGCTCCAAAGCGTGTTGCGTACATGTCCTCCAGGACTTTCCTCGAAAACCAGTCAGATGAGGGGAAGTTTACTGTTGAGAAGGATCTCAGCAAATCCGTCTGCACCCTGACAGTGAGCAAAATAACTCTGCAAGACTCCGCCACCTACTACTGCGCTCGGTGGGATGCACAGCAGCAGAAAGCCAAAGGGGACCTGCACAAAGACTGCTCTGCTTTCCAAAGCGGATCCTGCAGGGTTTGGCAACATGTAGGAACATCACCACCCTGCTTTTCCCACCAGCCTTGAATCAGATTGTACAGGCAGCCAGATACCAAAGATGCTGCTGAGCTTTGCAGATGCACACTACGCCCAATACCAGCAGAGCTGTTACTTGACTTCGCCAACAGAAAGAGTATTTTTATAGGTCTGAATGGATTGCCTCTGAGTGGGTTTACAGGATGGCAGAATGGGTTACCTAAAGGCAGGAGAATCCTCTCTATTCCTATTACTTTCAAAGCTGACTTGTAGCATTGATAAATTCCATTTATCTTTGGAATAAATCCCCAGTTACATCATTTGTGTGGCACAACAGAAGAATACAAGTGAAAATAAACTTGAAGCACTACTCAGTACCACAGATGTCTTCCCTGTCAGTAGAGAATCTGGTTTTACTTTCTCTTAGTTTTCTGTTTGGAGTTGATCAAACCTTCAATTAGGTTAAAACACAAGTCTCCTTATTGACTTCAGTGGGGCTTCTCATCCTACTGATTACTGCAGCTATAGAACAGATATTTTTATTTTTGCCAACAGAGAGTCATTCATATAAGTTACTTCAGCTCTTTCTGTTTATGGAAAACCAACAGATAGATAAAGTGACAGGGCCATTGTGTTCTGATCCCACAGGACCCAGTATTGCCAGCCTCCATTATGGGGTTTCCAGAGCACGCTGAGCACTGGGGGAGTGGTTGCATTTCACAGAAGATTGAAAGATCAAGTTTCTGTCACAACTGTAGGACATCTGTTACTAAATCTGTGTGAAAATTCTTGAGAAAAAAAGAGAAAAAAACTAGCTGTTATAAGTAAAATAACATTACAACAATAGAGAAAGGGGAAGTTTTCTTTCCAAGGGAACCAACAGTGGCCTTGCCTCTGAAGAATGACTTTGAATTGCAGAAAATGGTTTCTATATTTTGCCTGCCCTAATTGTCTTTATTTTAAACCAGGCCTATGGGGACAACAAAGCATTTGTGTTTCTTTGCATAATGCCCAGCATTTGGAGAAGTCACCCTGAAGTGTTGCATCTCACCTTACCTGTGACAAGAAGCAGCCACAAACACAACAGTACTGCTTTTGAGCTCCCAAATGTCTGCTGTGTATTTTCCTGGTCTTCAGCATTCAATCTGTGTTATAAGCAGTAATTTCAGACCCCTCCAATTCATTGAGCTCCATGATTTGTGGGGAATTTTTCACATTTTATTCTCAGTGGACCTGAGGAAAAGTCCATTTCCTTCTCTAGCAGACCAAAGAAAACTCCAGGCATTTCAACTAATCTAAAGGCAGTGGTAAAATTTGCTTCAGACTACAAAATTACTCTGTAAATAGCTAAGGTAACTGGGGGGGGCACGGGGGTGGGGAAGGGAGGGACATAGAAAGAGGGTTTGTGCCACTTGTGTAAAAGCTATAATCTATTTGTAAACATTTAGAGGGGTTCAATCAGTCTACTTAGTATCAAACAACATCCACCTGTAGCCAGGGCAGCCTCTCCAGATTATGCCAATGTGAGTAATTTCCAGCCCCTGCCAGTAGTGCTGTTACCTTCCTCCCAGAGGCAGACACCAGCAAGACCTCTCAGGATGCTGCTGCTTCCCCTCCTGGCCCTGTCTGCAGCCTGGTCTTGTAGGTTCCCTCTAGTCACCATGGTATGGGGCAGCTGCAGGAAGCATTCCCTGTTTCTGACTGTGAATGCACGGCAAGCTAAGAGTATTTGTTCTGTTTTCTCTCCTTGTTTCTAGATGGACGAGTGCTTCTGAAGCAGAGTCAAGTATCTGCTACCAGAGGGCACACTGCCACTGCCTCGACTGACTGTACAGCTGAGGGCATATCTGGCTTCCAGGACGTGGACAAACACTGGCACCGACACGTGCCCTCCAGAGCTCCTGAATGCATTCTCTATGTTGGAACACGTTCAGCTTCTTATGGGGGCGATTCCTACAAGAACAAGCATTCTTCTTTGAAGAAAGGTCTGAATGTCTGCACTTTCACAGTTAATGACATCAACTCCAATGATGAAGGTAACATGTGGGAATGGTATTCACAACCCCATGTCCATGCAAGTGGGTTTTTTGTTTTTTCATTGTAGATATGTCTGCACTACAGGACCTGACACAGATTCATGTATTTATCACAAGGACAACAGAACAATATGAACTTCCTCTACTAGTTGTGAGATGAGGTTTATTTGTGAACACTGCTATTGTCAAAAGACACTGATGAACAAGTTAAACAATACTGGGCCCAGTATTTCACCCTGGGGGACACCGCTAGTGACAGGCTATAAAATGCTCCAGGGAGACTTTGTTGCAGCCTCGCAGTACTTAAAGGGGGCTTATGAAAATATGGAGAGTGACTCTTTACATGGGCTGGTGGATGGTGATAGGACAAGTAAGAATAGTTTCTAACTAAAAGAGGAGACCTTTAGATTAGATATTAGGAGGAAGTTCTTTACTGAGAGGGTGGTGAGGCTCTGGAACAGGCCAAGGAAGCTGTGGATGCCAGATCCCTTGGAAGTGTTCAAGGCCAGGTTGGATGGGGTCCTGTGCAACCTGATCCAACTGGGTGACGTCCCTGCCCTTGGGGTCGAGGTGGGAATTAGATGATCTGTAAGTTCATTTGCAACACAAATCATTCTGTTACTATATGATTCCATAATGTTCTAGGAAAAGCTGGTGAAACATTCTTCTGGGAAAGTTTTGAGGTGTCTGAGGAGAGGACAACATCCTCGGGATGGGCCAGATTGAACAACTTGAGTTTTTATGTGTGTGCTCAGTAGGGAAGTCTGAAATGAGTTGTGGTAGGTAGACAGATGAAGAAACTTTTTTCAGATTGACTTTTTATGTCCTTTCTCCACTGTTACTGCTGTGGTTTAGCTTGTCAGTAAATTCACCACTCTTGGTGGTAGCGAGTTGAAGAACAACCACTGGATGTGCTGAATGAGTCATTTCCTCGTCCCAGTCATTTGATGTTTTCTCCACCTGAAGGGCTCTGTAACATTTCTGTCTCTATTTCATTTCCAGGTTTAATCTGCACAGGCAGCATGTTGCTGCTTCCAGTCCTTCTTGCAACTTCATTTTGGTCCCGTAAGCTCTTTTTTCCTTTCCCCTCTCCTTCCTGTGTACTGATTCCAAATTCCAGGAGCTTGTCCCCTCACATAATTTCTCTGCTTCCACTTCCAGGTGGAGACATGCAGTCAGTGCCAGTGCAAACCCCAGAGGTGTTCCATCAGATGAAGGGCAGATCTGCCAGCATGTCATGCCGACTGAAGCAAACAGACATTGTGCACTGGTACAAGCAGCTTTCTGGAGAGCCACCGAAGAGGATCCTCTACTTGTCAGGACATGCACCTGCTTTTGATGACAGCAATGATAGAAATAGATTTGAAGCTCGAAAGGATCCTGCTGAGCCTTTATATGATCTCACGATACACTCTTTAACCCCAAGGGATTCTGGCACTTATTACTGTGCATACATGTACAGCTCCCCACAGCATTGGTCGATCAAAGATGAGCCATGCAAAAAGGTACTTTGTGCTTTGAACCACAAGCTCTGCACTCTGCAGCAAGAGAGGAAAAACAGCATCTTGTGGCAACTATTAAATATATAATGTTAACAATCACCATATCACTTCAGTACTCACACGCATCTACAACATCCAGAAACCGGACTTTTCCTGTCACTTAAAGGTAAATATATGAAACAATGCTCTTAAACTGAAGGCTTGGTTTTACTGAAAGCACTCACCTGACAGTGAACACAGCCAGTCTCTGTGCGGGAGCTATAAATCTCTTCTCTGTTAAAATCCTAGCAAGCAGAGCAACGTCTCCATCCCCTCAGTGCTTTCTTTTGAAAAAAAAAAAAAGACAGGAATATGAAAGAGGGAGAGAAGACCAGGTGATCTTAATATTTTTCTTTTGTCTTCCTTTGCATTTCAGTCACTACAAATTCCTACAATAGACCAGAAGACCGATTTTTACTGTCAACAGTTCCTCACCTGATGTGTCCAAGACATAACTGAAATCCTCAGCCATGAGCTATGCCCCAGGCAAGCAGAGCCTCTCAGAGCCTTTGGGTTAAGTGTACTGAGTTTTACACATCAGATTCCACAATCACAGACTGGTTCTAGGAAAGATGGCATTTTCCTGACAGCTGGTCAGAACACTGGAATACTTTTATGTCTTCAAGTTTCTGAATTAGATTAGAGTGCACATGTTCAATATCCTTTGAGATATTCCTCTAATGCATCTGGACCTTAAAAATGGAGCCCAGATACCTCCATGGTGACAGGTTTACAGCTCCACAGGCTCTGAACACTGTTTTTGCTCAATTTGCTGTGTGATTTGAATCTATGATGTCTTGCTATAGATGTTTCTGTTCTCCTCAACTATTTGAAACATAGGTTGTACTGCATGTGACCTCAGATGTTAACTTCAGTCACCTTAACTTTTTTTGTCTTTGTATCCTTTGGCTCTGAGGATTTCTCCCAACCACAGAGATTTCTGGAGGGAGTTGACAGCAACTTCCTGACACAGGTGACTGAGCAGCCAACAAGGAAAAGTGCTGTGCTGGACCTCCAGCTCACAGACAATGGAGAACTTGTTGAGGATGGAAAGGTCAGGGCCAGCCTTGGCTGCAGTGACCACGAGCCACTGGTGCTCAGACTCCTGAGAGAAGGCAGCAGAGCAAAAGGCAGGACCTCAGAGATCTGCTTGGAAGAGTCCCTTTGGATACATCCCTGGAGAGAAGAGGTGTCTAGGAGAACTGGTTGGTATTCAAGAGTCTCTTCCAAGCTCTACTATCTCAGTCCCTGGGAAGGTGATGGAAACCATTTACAAACACAGGAAGATAAAGACAGTGATCAGGATTAGTAGCATCGATTTACAAAGGGGAAGCTATTTAGACAGCTTTAAATAATGAAACACTCTACAAAGTGGATTTTGGCCATTTCTTCTCTGACAAGCCTATTTAGTGATAATTTGAACTTGGAAAGCTATTTTGTAGAACACTATTCAGGCCAGTGCATGTTGTCTCTTGGCATAGACACCATCGTGTTTGGTCTGCAATTATTCCTACTTACTGTGTTAGAAAGCTACAGTACAAAACCTAGATAGTGTCTGTAAATTAAGCATTTAATCATGTGAGATGCAATCACTGCCACATTTCTTTACTCTTCATCTGGGATCAGGTGCCTGGGACAATTCTGCTGTCCGATCAGAAGAATATCAATGTACTGCTACTGTTTCATACGTGTCAGTTTTTTGCAACAGGGGCTTGATTTCAGGTCCTCAACATACAATAGCCAGTGCAGTTTTCTCTCTGATTAACTACAGTTGCCCATGAAGGAGACTGTCGTGGGATACCGCTGAGATGAGCGATCTTTTCCTCGACCCTCCTCCCCACTTCACCTTAAAATCTGTTTCTCAGTTCTCTCCTCCTTGTCACTTCGTTGTGTTCTGCCAGTCTGTAAGTAATTTCTCCTTCTCATCTACCTCAGGGTGGCCAGACACAAAATTAAACGGGCTTTCCTGTTGGGAATAAGGGGACCCTTTCCATTGCCACCACGCAGAGGCAGGTGTCTCTCCTAGCCTGACTCTTCCTGGAACCTTGCATTCACAGGCGCTTTTCCAAAGCACTTAAGCAATGGGTGCTTACCACCAGCTCACAGCATGCTGCCAGCAGGAGGGAGGGCAAACCAACTCATTTCCTTTGTGCCTGGCGAGCTGCAGCCCGTTGTGCGTTTCCTCCCACAGCCTAAGCCAAAGTGGAGGTGAGTGAGTCCCCTCCGTGGAGGTGAGTGAGTCCCCTCCGTGGAGGTGAGTGAGTCCCCTCCGTGGAGGTGAGTGAGTCCCCACCGTGGAGGTGAGTCAGTCCCTGCCGTGGAGGTGAGTCAGTCCCTGCTGTGGAGGTGAGTGAGTCCCTGCTGTGGAGGTGAGTCAGTCCCTGCCGTGCAGCTGCCCTGGTGGCTGCAGGCTGATGGCCTCAGCTGCTTTGGTGGAGGGCAGCACCTGCACAGCGGCACCCCTGTCACTTCTGCACTCTGCAGCTGGGTGACTGAGGTGAAGCAGCAAAGGGTGGTTGCTAACAGGATGAGGGAATGCCTCCCACCCACTCAGACGCTGTGCACCTCTCTGCACCCCTCAGGTGATGGTATGCACTCACTGCCCACCAGGGCGACCTCCAGACCAAAACCTTCACTCCACAATACATATCTGCTCCCACCTGCAACCTTTTCTCAGTTGCTCTGACTCAAGTTAATTAGGGCCACCATCCTTGGATTTAGCAGTGTTTTTCATATTTACTTGGAAAGCAGACAGGACTACAGCCTTCTAACCAGTTTTGGCCTGTGGAAATCTGGGGAGGGTTTTCTGCAAAGGCACCCCATCCTCTCGCACACGGAAGAGCCATCGCTGAAGACCATTCAAGATAGTCACCTCCTCCTTTCACATAACACAGTCCCTCCCCATCTGGCGTGCCTTTCACTCTCCTTTGAGTCTCAACAAGAGCAGAGTGTGGCAAGCAAACATGCTGCTGCTGGCAGTGCTTGTGGCCACAGCCACTTGGTCTTGTAAGTACTTCCTTCTTATTCCGCCTTTCCTCACAGGCACTCATGGCTATGCTAACAGGCATCTTTCACTGAATTCCAGCTAATGACATCATTTCTCCGTTTTCCTAGGTGGATTTGCACAGGAAATTCCCATACAGAGTCCTATATCCATCACCAAGTTCCAAAAAAGTGCACGAATGACATGTGAAATTCAAACATTAGGGGCAAATTTTGATGGTGTTGTCATACACTGGTATGTGCAGAAGGAGGGTGAAGCTCCAAAGAGGCTCCTGTTCCTTTCAGGAGGAAAATCTACCGTTGAAGCTGACTTTCAAGCAAGGAGATACACAGTTGAAAGAATCTCTGCCCGGAGACGGTGTGTTCTTACAATAAAAGATGTAATTCCAGATGATGCTGCTACTTACTACTGTGCCTACTGGGATCCTCACTGTGATATAAACTCAGAGATCATCAAGGCAAAAAAGCACCTGCAGTGTCTGAACCACAAGGCTGTAACTGGGCCATTCCACCAACCTTCTCCCCCCGCCTGATGTGAGCTGCTGAAAGGCCAAACCTTTTTCTGCTTCCCAAAATGAGCAGCTAACCCTGCACAACTGTCCTTTTCAAAGTCTGGGTCATCATTTGGAGCCCTGTCTTCAACATTCATCCACTATTTTAAGGACAAAGGAAATCTTCACTGCCTTAGGACTTAGCACATAAATGCTTGACACTCCCCTGCTCCTTTGGTGCTGTTTGCATGCCATAGCAGAATTCCAGTGTCCTTTAGGGGAGCAAACAGAGAAACGTTGATCTTCCAGTCCAGCCACTGTTCTCCCTTAGGAAAGAGAAGGCAGCAGAAGCAAGATAACATACCGAAGGCAGTACTATCTTCGTGGATGGAAATTATACACTTGCCACTGCCTAGCACGTCTGAGAAAAAGTTCCCCCTTATAGTCTTCCCTGTTGTACATGTAAGCAACTGTTAGCCCCTGGAAAAACTGTAAGCCCTGTTTACCTAATTTGGATACCACAAAATCCCACACAGAACAATTTAAATCAGAGATTTACAGTCTCTTATCTACCACAGCTGATAGTTTTATTGGAAGAAGGATATTTGCTGAAACTGTCAAGTTTGATGGACTTAGTATGTGGCCCTGAGCACAGCAAGTATTTCACAGAAAAGCGTAAGAGGAATAGTTTTTGTTTGTGACTGTAGCCAAGTATGTGCCTACTCTTCAGCTTTTCTCTTCCTGATGAGGGGTGTAGTTGGATCCCTGAAATGCTGGGGCATCACACAGTATGAACAGTGGGACTTCAGAAAGATCAGGCTAGGTGTGAATAAGCACCACACACCAGTAGCCTCATGTCTTGAAAGTCTTAAATGCAAGGTAAGTTTAAGGAGGCAAGTGCTCAGTGATTTCATAGAACCACAGAATCATATACTAACAGAATGGTTTGGGTAGAAAGAGATCTTAAAGATTGGCACCTACCCACCATAGGCAGGGGCATCTTCCACTTGATCAGGTTGCTCAGGGTGGTACCTGTAGCAGCAGATAGGCCAGCATGTTGTACTGTGGCTCTTCAAAGAATCTGGCCTGACAAAGAATATTGAAATAGAGAGCTTTAGCCTGAAGGTTCTTAAAAATTTTAAGCAAAGGAGAATTCTTTTAATTTGCGAGTTAACAGCTGTCAGAGGAGGAAGATTTTCAATTTATTGAGACTGGAGGTGGGCATTTTTGTTCTCTTTTTTGGGAGCTGTATCATTCCCTTTCTCCATCTTCTTGCCTATCAACTATCTGTGTTTCATTGGTGTTGGATCAGAATCATCCAAAAGATTGGAGGCAGCAAAGTTAGGAGAAAAAAAAAAAAGAGGCTTCCTACAGTTAAACCCAGCTTTTCCTACTTGTGTTTCATATGGAATGCATCCGTCCTAGTTACTGCCTCAAGGTGCATGCTGACCCTAATGCCTGAGAAATTAATCCACAGAGCTTTTTCTCTACCATCAAGCCTCTCCCTAATATTCTCCTTTTACCGTGAGACCCTGAAAGTCTCCTCTCGTGGTTCACTGAAGTGTAACTCGTTAAAGAATGACGGGATGAAAAAGTGACATAACAATTTCAAATGCGTACCAGGTCCCCAAATGACTGTAGGTCACTTTTATCCTGCTCAAATTTACAAGCCCAGATTATGCAGGGGAGTTGACAAGCTATCTGCACTATGAAGTGTTTGATTCTTCAAATGAGACCTCCCAGCTACTCACTGCCATCAACATAAATCCAATAGTGCCTGCAACTGCAGGTGATATGGTGGTGGTCTCCTCCACTGTGTTTCTAAGGACATGGCAGGCAAACTACCAGCTGGCACCATTCGCTGTCTACATCATCCCTGCCCTTGATTTGTGTTGTGATTAGGATGTTCCTGTCCAGAAGACTTCAGTGTAGACCACTACTGTTTTTTTTGCACCCACTTCAGCTGAAAGACCTTCACCCTCTAGTTCCTCTCTCTAGCCTCAAACAGGAATTTCTCAACATAGCTTGGCAGTCAATATGCCACAAGAGATCCCAGAAGTACTCTAACTCAGTTCATTTTAAATGCCAAACCAAGCGTGCAGGCTGTTTGATTGGTGGAAGTGGTAACTCCTCTGATGTTATCTTGGACAGTCCTATAAGAAACCTCTACACAAAAGCATCTTTCTCCCACCAGCTAGTATATGAAAAGCTGCCAGTAAGCTGCTGTAGCAGAGCCTGGAGTGATTCCTGGGCAATAACCACGTCCTGGTGACAGAAAACACAACCTGCAGCATACAGACACCTTCACAATGCTTTTGATGCTCTCTCTCCCTCCTTTCCCTCTACTGAGCTGTATTCAGACGATGAAAAATGAACTGCATGCTAGCTGTACTTGGTGCCACTTAATTGCCGGCGAGAAGGGTTGTACCACTTCGGGGAAGAGTTGGATTTTCACCTGAAGGTATGTGGGTTTTTACATGCAGAACTCTGTGTACCTATCTGTGTGTCTAAAATTGAAGAAGAACCTTAATCTAATTATAAGGCATTAAGTGGAGGGGTTATCTTACAAATTTGCAACACTTCAGGAAAGAGATTTGCTCTGAAGGGCGTTAGATATCAGCTGAACATCCAGATACAAGCCTGAAATTTCTGACAGCAGCCAAGGGCCAGGCCTTCATGCAGACTCCCAGGGATGATGAGGGAAAAATGGGATTTTCTTCATCAGTGGTATATCAAGAGAGCATTCTAGCTTATTGCAAAGTGAAAATCTGGTGTGGAGCACCTGGATCAAATACTTTGGCATGGGAACAAAGCTTATTGTCTCTAGTAAGTACCATTATAATTGAACTGATTTTCATAGAATCATTCAGATTCTCAGATAATTAAGAATGAAAGACTGTAGAAAAATTAATTTCTCCCTGATAAATGGTGGGGGTTTTGTTAACTGTGCATTGTGCCCCAGTTGGGTGGGTTGATGATCAACCTTGTGAATATAGATTACCTCTAGAACAAGTGCTGAATATTTATAAAGGATGGGGGAATGGAAAAAAAAGGAGTAAAAATTTCAATATTGCAATGGATTAATTTCTGTTGTGGGAAACTTCTTGAAAGTTTACTCTCAGAACAGCAAGTGAGAAAGTCAAAAAGTTTTTGATTTATAGAAGTGGTCCAATCTAAACCGATTGGGAAGAAAAATTCCCTGAATGTACTAAATTACTAGTTCCTGGCCCTACTGAAAGTAACTTTGTTACTTGTGCATTTGTATTATTCTTAATTGTGGGGAAGCTATGCAATCAATAGGATGAATGATGGTTTCTGTAGAAAGTATATAACAGTGCCTACAGGATGTTGCTCAGAAAATACATGACATTATCAAGGTGACTATAATTAAGTCAAATTGCAAATAGCTGAGGGGAGTTACAGAGAAATTTGAAATGTTATCTATCCATGACTTTGAGCAAAAGTTTTCTGAGCTTTTTACTCATTACAAAACTTGAAGTATTTCTTAAAAAATGGCACTCTAGTAAATGTTGAAAATTCAGCTATTGTACCGGGTCAGAGAGACTTTGTCTGTAGCCTATGCAAGAAAAGTGCAGGAGATATTGCTAAGCACTATCAGACTGGGGGATCCTGATGTCAAAAGATTTGGAAGTGGAACTGAGCTTATTGTTTCAAGTAAGTACAAAATATAAAACTTAACTACTTCTGAAATGCTTCTCAATACAGTTAGATATTGGCTGGCATGAAGTGCTCTGCTATTTTAATTCCCTCTAGTTTTAATCCTTCTGAATTCTTTGCAGGATTTCCCCCTTAAATAGCATTTTGATTTGCAGAACATAATGTAATTGTACTGTATTTCTGTATTGAAATGGGGGAAATACAACAGCTGTTGCAGCACAGATGTATACTAACCCCAGTATTATTTTCTTTGCAAAGATGAGTTTAAATGTAGCAAAGAAAGCATTTGGAGAACAAAAAGATGTTTTTCTCCCTAAGTATGCACATTTAGCCTTTGCGATATTCCTAATTCATTCTGAAAGAAATGTATCCAACCCTTGTGCTACTCATATTCTTTGAAGAGCAAAATGGTTTCCTTTAGGACTGTATCTGACTATACCATGTGAAAGTTATCTGAGGTATGCCTAAAACAGTTTTAGGATAGACATAGTTGACAGGCTGCTCTCTCTTCCTAGCTTGTGCAGAAACTGCGTATTATCAGTTATTACTGCTATTACAGGAGAATGCCAAATTCAGAATATTCTGGCATAATCATCAGAACTATTTTCTTCAAGTAAACTTCAGGTGCTCTGATACATGCCTGGGAGTTGGCTCAGCTAAGCATCTGAGATGAAAACAGTTTGCCTAATTTTGACCCGCTGGTGTATCTGGTTAGTGGGAGTTTTGATTCCAATCAATGCAGAGTCTTGCTGCGTGTTATGGACAACAAAAACATTGGCTGGTGGTCTCGTGCTACGCAGATTGCTGCATAATGTTCACCAGTTCTAGGTCTGATTTTATGGGGGTGTATAAGGAGCAAATTACTTCACCACTATCTGATTAAATAGATTTTCTGTTGATGATGCCTCTTTCCAGAAAGGAGAGGGAGCCAATGTGCTCAGTCTGCAACATCCACCTACACTTTCAGAAGACTCAAATTAGCTGAGATGAATTCTGTCCATTTAGCAACATACCTGCCCTCAAAAAACTACACTTTTTTTTTTTTTTTAAATTTACTTTATTTTAGGTAAGTGCTCCTTTTTTACTTTTCTAGGGTCTAAAAATTGATTATATAGCAAACCTGATTTTCTTTAAAGAATTCTATTTCCCCGTGTAAACACAATGGAGCTGCACTGATATTGTAAAGACTTTATTCACTGTGATTGGTTATTACAACAAGGTGTTTGGCTCTGGTACAAAACTCATTGTGTCAGGTAAGTTAAGCTGCAGTTTATATTCATATAATTCATACAATAAGCTCTAGGAGCTTGGAGTCGTCATATAGATGTATTATACTGTTTCAGAATCCTTGCACAGGACTCTCCTCCCCAGCTCGCCCTTCCTACATTGAGCCTTGTGGTATTTGCAATGCAGTCATTTAGTATCACAAACATATCTGAAAAAGAGCTATTTTGAGCTAGTTTTGATCATAGTTCTCCTGGAATCCAGTGGGAAAAGGCCTGTAATAGTTTCCAGAGCCCTTGTTCTTTCCTCCAGCTGTGCTGAAGGAATCAGCAAGGAAACAAGCAGCTGTGAATTAAGCATTAAAAAAGAAAACCTCTTCTTAGTACAGATACAAAGAGCAGTATGCAATGGTCATTGCAAAAATTTTTTTTAAAAATTAAGCTAGCAAAAGTGAAATAACTTGTCCACAATTATTTTTCCCTGCACTTTGGCAGTAGAAATAAATTAGTGCCTCCAAATGCTCTTCTCATTGCTTAATAACTACTTGTAGCAAAGCTCTTAAATTAATAACAAATTAATTAATTATTCAGCATTAATTATGCTGAATGACTGCTTAATAATTGCTAATGACAAAATTATCCTTTTTTTTACCTTTCCTGCAGAGACATTTATTTTAGTGAAAGGTAGAGAACAAAAATATTTTTTATAGATGTGCTTTAAATGCCATAATCCTGAAGCAAACAACTGATAGAAACAGAGCAGAGGAACTACTGCTACCAAATGTTTTAAGCCTGGTAAAATACATAAATGTATGTTAGTATATCAACCAAAGATTGGTTCTAATCATTTATGTCAGAAAGACTAAGTAAATCACACCTATAGTTCAATGGGAATATCTCTGACATGTTGCTTTGAGTGAAAATCCTTACCTTATTAATCAAGTAATTGCCATGCTCTTCATATCTACATTTTAATATATTTTCAAACATCACTCTAATTCTGTAGGATTTTGTCTTTATGAGGACAAGGATTCTGAATCATTAATAGGGTAAGAGGGTTGTACTTCACATTATAGATCATCAAGGAATTGAGAAAGCCAGGACTTAGGATAAGGCTCTTTGGGAATTGCATCATTAGCTGAGTCCAAATATTGTACATTCATGTAGCCAAATAGACTGCTATTGTTTGTATGCTGGTTGTTAAACATGGTACTTTTCCAGCCAAAATCACAGAATCATCGAATGGCCTGGGTTAAACGGGACCTGAAATATCATCAAGTTCAAACCCTGCCATGGGCAGGGAAAACTTTCACTAGAGCGGGTTGCTCAGAGCTTGTCCAGGTGCCTCTGGATGGCATTCTATCCCTCAGACAGCAGTTTCTGTAATGGAATATACCACTGTGGGATCGCATTTGGTATTTGGTTCTGGCACAAAACTCATCGTCACCAGTAAGTGTTTTCAAAATCTTATGTTTTTAAGAGTTTTGTAACAGGAGAGAAGGCAGGTGGATCTTTAAGGTATCTGGGAAGGCTCACCATAGGGACTACACTACATTATTAGCAATTTAAATACCCAAAGCCTCTGTTCAGCACGACAAGAATGCTGTTTATTAGCTGAGTGCGCTGAGTGCCCTCATCTCCCCCTGGCTTGAAGGGGAGCTTTGAGTACGGGACAAAATTACTCCATTTTGTGGGATCATCCAAGAAAAAAGAATTAAAATTTCAGCTTAAGAACATGGTGACATTATTTATAAATTGTACTTATAGATACTTATAAGGAAACTGTAGAGGAGTTTCATTAAGAAAACTTTTGACAGCTAATCTATAAAAACATATATTTTGAACTTAAATTTTTAATAACTCATGGATTACGAATCTAACACCAGAATTTTATTTGTACGATGTTTTGCAGTCCCATTGCATTGGGAGACAAAAGACAGATTTAGCTTAAGAAATATCTGTTCATGCTTATATGTTATTTGAAAAGACCTATATACCTCTTAAAACCTGCCTTCACAAATCGTTTGACAAGGTAAACAGCAACATTTTTGAACGTTTAACTAAACCAAAAACAACAGTGAAGTTTAAAGTTCATTACTTTAAAATTCTTCAGAAAGAATCAGATAATTTGCCCAGAAATCCAGTGTAAACTTGGTTGACTTCAATGACTTTACAGATCAGCCTGAAACTACATCAATACAAGTTTTCATCCTTATATTTTTTTCAGAAACATACCTCCAAAGATATTTTTCTGACATGCAAACATATATGTATGCCAAACTGAATTTGTTCAGTTCTGCACTGTCATACATTTACATGAGACACTGCCATGCAGTTACTCAAGCAATGTACTCAGTACATTTATTTCCTCAGTGCAGGGGTATGATTTATGTGTTTTATTTAAGCTAAGCATCTAGGCTCTTCTTACGGTGAATGGAAAGATATTGGCAATTCCAGAGGTGGAAATTATTATGTCTTTACAGAAATCTATAAGCAGCTGAAAACATCTCGCTCACTTCTCTATTTAGACTTGACAATCCAAGAGAATAATGGCAAACTAGGCAATTAGATTTTAGCCTGATGGAATTAATCAGGATAACTTCCTTAGCTTTGAGGCTTTGCAGAGTGCAATGTCACTGGGACAAGAGCTACGTCACGGTCTTCTGAACATATACAACTCTGGAACAAATAATAATTTTAGAAATTACTTTAATCTTCTGTCCATGGGAGAACTGATGCATAAAGAATATAAAATTAACCGCTAAGTTAATGTTAGAGAACCATAATATTGTTAGCAATTTTTGGTACAACAGAACTCTGTCCACATCGTCATTTCACTGACAAATCTCTGAAATAAAGGAAATACTTCATAGATGTGTTATCCTTTTGAAGGTAAAAAGGTCATCTTTTTTTAAACATCAAGTCTGAAATACTTCAAAGAATCACTAAGTTGTTTTAGGGGAGATACAATGTAGAGGATTGCTCTAGAATAGCCAGATCATTTAAAGAAAGGTGGAAGCTTTTTTGACAAAAATACATTTTTATATTAATATGTTTTCTGCCAGTGCACCACTGTACCAGGCAGTCAGAGCACAGTTTAAACCCTGTGCATCCACTGGCTCAAATTCAGTAGCAGAGATTTACATAGGAATCTAAAGACAAAAAGTGGGGTAGGGAGATGAACACCTAAAATGTCTCTGCTGCCTTGAAAAAATAGTCTTAAGCAGTTCTTTCTATATAATAAAAGTAAAGTTTGAAAACTGTATCCAGGCTTCACTTGCAGTTAAGCATAGTAAAAAAATGATCACCTGTGAGTAGTTGCCGCAGAAGCTCATGTTGAACTAAAACAGATTTAAAAATTTACTATTCTCTTAAATAATATCAGAACATCATCTCTGTGTGGACAAAATCTGGATGATTTTGACTCCTCCTAATAACATAAAGCTTAATCCAGAGAGGCAAATGGAAACGGAGATTACCTACAGTTAACTTGTGAAAACAGCGCATTTTTAATTTAAAATATATTCATGTATGTTCATACTCTCAGAGCATACAAAGCACATCACCTACAACAACACTGGGAAGGCTTAGATATGCTGTTTAGATGCAGAAATGTTATCTGGATACAGTATATTCTTCTGCTTTAATTTAGTTTTGGTTTTTCTGTTTCAGATGTGTTAATTAAATAATTTAAACTGATTTAGTATTAAAGGAATGCCACTGCTAAACTTTGGTGTCCAGGGCATTTTGTGATTGCTTTTTCCTGTCTTGATAAAGATCTTCCCCTGGCAAATACATGGAATATCTTAAAATAAAAAGGCGACTTTTTGTTGCCCACTTCCCCCCCACACACACACCAATTAAATCACAAAAGTAATACTGGCGTTTAAAATTTAATTAGATATAGCAGATGTTTATTAATTAGCAGTGGGGACTTACACTGGGGACATAAAACTGCAAAGATTTGAAAGGCAGGTTAAAGCCCCTTTTATATTCTGTAGACAAAATTTTTATGCAACTCTTTTTTGCACAAACATTATAAAGCAATATTAAATTACTTTTACTGAATAAATGAACAAATGTCTTTCAGGAAATAGTACTGTATCTTAATAATTGTCAAGACTTGAGCAGATACTGCACTGACAGCAGTATTGCTTGGAAGCTTGTGGGGATACAGGCTGTCATGTAGCTGCCTGGAGTTTTCTAACTCAGTTTCAAGAGATCAATAGCTACTAATATCTTCAACAGTATTTCCATTTCTCAGCATTTCTCAAAAGAGCATTCACATTTGTTATGGGCATTTTTAATGCTTGTTAATAAGGCATTTATTTTGTCGGTCTTCAGAATTTGTATTTTGTGGCTGTGTATTTTTTTGCTGTACACCATTAATCTTTCAAATCTCCGTTTTTTAAATTTTCTTCCTTCAATAACCAATCCAGACAAAGCAAGCTCTTCACCAGCAAACTCGGAAATCCTGCAGAAAAAGCATGGAAATCAGATAATGTACGTTTGTCTTGTTGAGAAATTCTACCCAGAAGTTATTCGGGTGACATGGACTGATGAAGAAAAGGAGGTAACAGACAACGTAGTAAAAGGTGATGTTTGGAAGCCCGCAGGAGAGGATGAATACTCCATTGCCAGCTGGTTAACTGTACCAGCAGAGAACAAAGACAAGAAATATTACTGCAAATATGAGCACGAAAGCCAAAAGGATTCACTGCCAACACAAGGTATATGCAAGATGTTAAAAATTTAATTCTATGTATCATTAGAGACATCCTTTTTCTTTGCAATAAAATTAGAGAAATAGTGCCTTCTACTACTTCATAAGACATCTGTGCTCCTTGGCACAGCAATGGCTAAAATAAGCAACCAGAAAAACTACCAAAGTTTTCCCAGGAAAAGCAACTCAGCCTGTGTTATGCTCCCCAAGTGAGCATGGCTTTGTAACAGAAAAATAACAGTTATTGAACTTCATCAGGTGTAAACGAACACAGCTACAAAAGGTCTGCACTGAAGCACATGAGTTACTTTCCAGTTTACAGAAGTTACTGAAAATTACTCATGGCTTGCAGGTGTAAGTCCCTCTGACTCCCCCTGACATTAGTCACAGCTATAAAAAACTAACGAGTTAAAAACGAGGTTGCTGAGGATGTAGAACAAAATTTAAATATATTACTTACTCATAGTCCAGAAATAGTTAGATAATAACCATGTATAAAAAAAGATTTTGTATTTAATTGTGGAAAGATTGATTATGCAAAGCAAAATCTGAAAGAGAATGCAACTTTAACTTATATTCAATGCAAGTTGTTCATATCATAGTAATATATATAAGAAAAGTTATCTAAATTGGTTTAAGTTAATATTTTCTCCATATCTACATAAATTCACATAACTCCAATGAGTGAGACCATAGCCCTAAATAAACATTACATTTCAACCTTCAAAGTATATTCTGACAAAAATATGCCTTAAGCTTATTTTGATGGAAGATGTATTTAGGGATGCAATATGGATGTCTTTAAGCCCATGCATCTACACATACAAACAACCTAAAAAAGAATAAACACAAATTTGCTACTTCAAGAACAAAAAGGGTGCATTTTAGAGAAAAACCATCACCAAAATAGCAAATTCCTAATAGGGAAAGCTTAGATTATACACTTCTCAATATTATTCTTTAGTGTTGAACAAAGAAAAGCCTAACTAGGGCATTTAAACTCTCTTTCCAGTAAACTCTACGAAGAATGCTCCTCAGGAAGGGGACTGCAGTGCAGCTCTTAACAGAGGTAATTTAATGCATTAAAATATGGGAAAGTGGGTGCATGTGGTGCAAGACATAGATATTGCTATGTTTGCTCAGAACGTTACAAAAATTATCTTTCAAAACAGTGTAAATAGTGCTTTTGGGGTCTGCAACTTACAAAAACACTTCAGTGCTACTCTGAACTAACTTCTGTTGTGGATTATAAGGGGATCTCCTACCTTTATTAGGTAGTTTTATTAGGATGCTACAGATGCTGTTTGGGCTATTAGATTATCAGTCCACATTAATTGCCACTTCATTAAACACCTGGAGTAGTGAAATGCCAAATTCTTCAGCTGATGGTTCATCAGCCTAGCAATTGCCCAGCACTTTAGACAAAGGAATTGTTTTTTTAGCTTGAGTGGGGATTTTGGAAGAATCATCAGCGCCTATGTTCAAAAAATCCAATATAAAAGGATTCAAACAAATGTGATGCTACTGGAAATAAGTGCTGGAAGCACTACAATTATGCTCTTGCCTTTGCAAGGAATAATAACCCAGTGGTATGAGCTAAGAAGCTCAGTTGGGCTTGAACTTATTAGCAGTGCAGACCCACTCACAGGACAATCAGATACTGTATGCGCCACTGGTGTCAAGGTAATTGCAGCAGTAAAGTGATGATACAGTCCCAGCTCTACCCATCTTTTAGGAGGCTGTACAATATTGACATTAAACAACACTTTTCTGTCTCATGTTATGTTTACAGATGTTACAGACGTTATGCTTCCAGATCACTTAATGCACAGGGCAGCCTATTTAGTGTACATCATCCTCCTTCTGAAGAGCAACATGTACTATCTTATCATACTCTTCTTCATCTGCAGAGTGCGGGCTCCAACCAAGCACCAAGGAAAGAGGGCATAACTACGTGTTTAAGAAAAGGTTACAAATTAATCGTGGATTTACTTTGCTTACCCATATAGACTCCCCTGCTCTGTATTAGATGTAACAGCAAAAAAAAATCCCAAAATAATTTTCGGGCGTTAGGGCATAGGGCTCATTTTGCTTTATTGTTAGTATTTTTATATCAGTCTGGTTTTCCTAATTTTTTTTCTGAATATCAAAAAAGGAGAGGCAATAGCAGTAATGGATTTATTGCAAAATGAAGAAGGTACTCAGATTGAAAGTAGTTATGCATGCAGAAGAGTAGTGATGTAATGGTACTTTTGATATATAAAGCACAGATGGGTTTTGTCATTGCACTTAAGGCTTAATAAGGAACATTTCTGTGAAGTAAATTCACAGATATTTTTTTCATTTTTACTTTCAATGATTTGTTGCCACTCTCATTTATCCAGGAAATGAGGACTTAATTACTCTGAAGTGATTAGTGCTTTAAGAGACAATTAAATATAATTTTTAAAGGTGAACATAGGAGTTTTGAATGAAGAAGTCAGATGAGAATAAAAGCAATTATAAGGTGCGTGCATACAGAAACGAAGAAATCCACCAGCACTGTGACACACTGTGTTTTTAAAGAAAGAAACCAATTGTAATTATCATGTATATCACCTTGTTTAAAGACACCTTTTTAAATTGAGCAAAACCTCAAATACGAAGCTTTGGTAAAGAAAGTATTTTCCCAAAAGAAGAAAAATTCTCAGATGCTGGACTTTGAACTCTTAATCTCCAGGTTCCTTTCAAGTTTATGCAGAAAAGCAGAAATTAGACATACTGGGATAAAGCACTTGCTCGGTTTTGGGCAAAACATTATCATATGTTTGTAGGTAAATGCTTACAGCATTTACACTCACTGTATCTTTAATGACGAGGGCAATAAAAGCTTTCCTTCAGTGGCCGCTGTGAGGTCTGTTAGTTCTCCAGCATTTCCACAGCCTGTATAAAGATGCCTAGAAAACCCGATTCATTTTTCTGTTCACACAAATTTGTCAGGAAATCAAAGATCCTTAAAACATTAGTTTTCTGCTTTTCAGTTAAACAGGAACATTTACAGAGAACAATAAAAGTTAGTCTGTTGCATTTTTTTCTGCTGCAAAACAAAAAGCTAAGCTTTGTAAAATGGAGCTAAACCAAGCCAGGGGGAAATGTTACAAAAGGTCTGCCTGCCTCCTAGGCCAAACACCATCTCCATCACAAGGGAACAAAAATATGTAAGGCTCAGTTCTAACAACCACAGCTATTTTGCTAAGGGCAAAAGATCTCTTTCACCAAAATGATCCCAAAATCCACTTTTTGCGTCTCCTAAACAAAACTGAAAGATGCTGTCCATGCAGTGTAGGAAAACAGAGCTTTTTAGCTTTTTTCATAAATAAAACCCTTGCCTACACGCAACCCTAAACCATGCTGAGCATAGCTATCACCTCACAGTTTCTGGCAATTTTTTTTTTAATGTTTGGCTGCAAGGTTTTACATCTTGCAACAGCTCACATGTCCCTGAAGTTTATTTATAGAAATGTTTACTGTTCCATACTAAGTTTTTAATTCTTATTTATTTAGCCCAAATAAGAGGACAAGCGGATTTCTAAGGCTTCTAGGTGCTGGGGTGTTTGTTTGCAGGAAGGTTTGGTTATTTAGTGGAAAAACCCTATAAACTGAACCAGTCACAACTGGCTCTGAGGAGGTGGGCTGCGATGAGAATGGGTGATTAGCTGGGGACAGTTAGACCACAGCCGTCCTGCCTTCTACCACAGTATGCTTCTACACCATTTCCTTCCAATGCAAATAAAAAGTTACAAAAACCACACGCCTAAGTTATGTGTAAATATCAGGGTGAAACTCGCTGTTTGACACACGTGCTGGTATAACTGCATGCTTGAGATACACAGGGACTACTGCTACCACAATAACACGGGTGCTGTGGGGTGTCTGCAGTCTTGCAGACTTGCAGTCTTACCCGCCACGATGGCACAACAGAGGAAGATGTTTGCTATTAAATGTAAACTTTAACATTGAAAGACATGTCTTCTCAAACACATGTCTCATCACAGCTGATTTTCAGTGATTTGAAGCTTCTACAAGTATGAGCACTACTACAGCTGCTCTACTGCTACAGTCGCTGAATTAATGCACATACTACAAAAATGCTTACGGGCAGTGTGTGCTTCTAATGAAAAGAAGACCGAACAGGATCAACTTCTGCCATGAAAGTACAAAGAAGTAATTAGCACAAATGAATTTATCTGTGTAAGGGGATTTGCAATAGATTCTTTATCTCACCAGAAAAATTTTGTGTCCTATACAACTACTTACACATGCTTCAGAATAATGACTTCTCAGCTATAAAAACAACCTACAAAAGGTGATATGGAAACCTTCCCACGGATTCCTCTCACATATAGCTGTAAATGAGAAAGATGCATAAGGATGCATAAGGATGATCACAATCTGCCAACTGCTAACTTATAGTGATACTAGGTACTAACACTAATAACTTTTAAAAGAAATTCAAATGGTAGACTATTCAGTTTGAGATTTTGAAACAGTTAGAGCACCAACATAGATTATAGAATGTGATGAAGAAATAAAAAATCCCAGAGGAACAGTTTGAATAATTGTTCCTCTACACCTATAGATAGTTACAGGGAAATAGATCAAATAATAATTAACAAGTAATTGACAAGTTTTACCTAATTAGTCCAAATGATCATTAAATATAGTTTCACCATAGGTAACTTTTAGTTTATTGTATTACCAGTCTCCTGACAAGGTACATGAGAACACACTTTCCAGTCATCACCTAGTTCCTGAGATTAACCTCAGGAACTACTAAATACATTTTAAAAAAATATTTTTATACCACCTGGGAGGCGACCTAATACACATCTGTCAAGAAGATAAATCTTTGTGACATATTACAGCATATGGAAGTCATTCTCTTGGTTTCTTAATTAATACACTCTCCTAGCAGCTCCACTAACAAATCCCAACAACTTCTCCCAGAGATTTTCTTTTACAGGATGAATGAAGATGAGATTCAAGACAACACATAATGAAAATGGGGGGGTCAAAAGGCAAGGACACCCTCTATTCCAAACAAGCACTAGATTTCAAATCAGGAGCTTCAGCTTCTAAAGATTTCATTCCTACTGCTGTTGGAGCTTTGCCATTTTTGGCAAAGTGAATACAAGAGACAAAGTAATTCTGAATATAAATTGAATGATTCTCAAAATGAGGAAATTATCTCTCATATACAACCAAAGCTCACTACAAAAAGATACAGGTCTCTGCAGTGACAAAGTGCTCAAAAGGCCCTGCAAAAAATGCTTAGGTGGTCACAGAACTACGTGCCCAGAAACAGCTCCTCAGGAGGCACTGCTTTGCACAAAGGTGACCTGATGGATTACTAACTTCAGAGAGACTTTTCCTTTCCTGGAATAACATAACTACCAACCATTTTGAGGCTCAAATTCTACTGTAAAATAACAGTAGAAATAAACTTTCCAGACTGCTTTTGAACATGCTACTAGCAGAATGGTTGCTCAGCAACCAAGACTTCATATCTAGTCCCTTCACATTTAATAGGAAGTCTCTAACCATTTCATATTTTAATGTACCCATAAAGGGTTTCAGTGTTTTCAGTCCACAGTATTCCCAATCCAAACCATCACAAATGGAAAGAACGAAAGGTCACGAAGGTCACCCGATGAAGAGGAGAGAATTTGAGACCCCATGAGGAAGTAAGGCAGGATCTACCACCACAATATTCCTCAAGATAGAGACCACGCCTCAATCTCCGCCCTAACTCCACCTGCTATGAATATTGTAATCTAATGATGCAATAATATGAATATGTATATGGTTATGATGTAATCATTGCCAAACCTGTATAAAATACTCATTCTAACCTAACCAGCTCGGAGCCTGTTTTCCCAGCACAAGCTGGCAGGCGGCCAGCTGTTTTAGGCATAAAACTCTGTCTAAACAGTTTTAACTGCCTTTTTTTGGGCATCACTGGCGGGGTGGAAGCCGGAATACTGCGGGGGGAGTGGTTGTGGGGTCACCGTGGGCTGTGGAGCATCCTGGGCTGGGGAAGGCCCAGCACCAGTGGGGCCAGGAAGGGGGCACCAAAGCATACCTTGGGTGGGGGTCACTGGACTCCCAATGCAGCATCAGCTCCATTGATGGCATCGTGGTCCCCCCCACAGCCCAACACTTGTGATACTCTTCAGGGTGTCCTCTTATGGTTTCCACATCATCATCGTCCAGCTCCTGGAGTGATTCGAGCTCCCCCAAGAGCTTTGCACTTGTGATAGAGTATCTGGAGCACTCTCAGGACTTCTACATCGTCAGGAGGAGCACAGATTCCTGACAGGAAGATGGCACAGGGGCTGTTCCACCAAGTGCTGGAGGCCATGCAGCACTGCCCCAGCCACAGAGACGAAGCTGATGGACTTTAGTTGTGGCTTATCTAACTGTCAGAGTTATGTGACACTGTGCCACAGTTATGGCACAGAGTTTTCCCTGTGCCATAAAATGTTCAGCTTCAGTGGGGTGGTTTAGAGGAAGTGAACAAGAAGATATGCCCCCTACCACACGCCATATAAGGTTTTAGCAGTTTTGTACATATCAACACACTGAACCCCCCCAAAGTATCCATTTATCTTCAGAATACATACCATTAAGGAAAGCACCTGATACAAGTCCAAAAGAATGACTCCTCTCGGACCAAATGCTGGACTGCTGACCTCGAGAAAAGTTCAACACAGGGACAGTGCCACTCCAAACTCTTCAGAATTGCCACTGCAGGTGCTACTGATTTCCTATATGTGATGTGCCAGCTTGAGCTGTGGAAGTTCTAAACAGTCTTCGCCGTACACAGGGAGTAGGTTACAGACAAAACCCACACCATTCCAGAAAGCACCTCCTTCTTTGCACTGTCTCTCTCTTCCATGGCAGTACTGTCAAACAGTAGCAGACTACGTTAAGAAATAAAAAATAAATTCAAACTCACTATTTCAAAGTCAAAAAGATACTTCCTAAGAATATGATATCAGATTTTACTACTCCACAAAGATTTTGCTCTGTCCTGTTTATATCTGGGTATTCAAAAGAAAACACAGAACATCTGGTTTTGGTCAGTAAAGTGTCCATTTAATAAATTCCTTAGCCACATTTCCCACCCCCTTCCTCCCACCATAAAATTTCAATTCACACTTAAGCAGATCACATAGAATTTGATGGTGTACAACATAAGCTTTTAAATCTGCACTCTTAATACTAAGAGTATTAGGGGCTAGTATTTGACAAAATTACCTAGAAGTCAGATGTGCCCATGCAAAAAAAAGCAGATTTTTATATACAGTCCCTATTTTTTCTTACAAATTTAAATATTTTACAAAAATGTATTTTCAAAATGTATAAAGTTTAGTGAATACCCCAAATGTATCTTAAAATAAAATGCTATCTGGTTTCAAAGGCTATTTCAACAATGAAGTCTAAATTGCACCGGATAAAAGGCACTTGTGCTGTGTGATGTCTTAAGCAAATACATGTTAGTTTGTAGTACAGTAATACAGTGTCTTCTTGAATTCATGCAGCTGTCTCTGAGCCTCAAGCATCATTAAAGCAGCCAAAAGAGATCGGCAGTAAACCTGATTCCACAGTTGTAAAAACATTTTCTATCGCTAAGTCGAACATACAGCATTGTGCTCCATCTTTGACTCTAGAATCAAATGCTACTGAAAAATTGCTGTTATTCACATGGGAATTTAAACTACATTTCTTTCATAAGTTACAAAAAGTATGTCATTTAATTATGAAACTAAACCATCAGTAAACAGCTCAGTGTTTAAATAGTTTGTGCCGATGAAAGTCTGTATTTATA